TGTCGGACTATGTAAATTAACTGAAAACAAGCCAATAGATTCGAAACTATGAAGCAGATGTTTTTCTCTTAAGATACTGCTATTCAGGTCGCCAGTAATATTAAACTCTGTATAGTCAACAGATATTTCACGCGGAACATTTATCAATAAAGCATAGTCCATATCACGATTCGGCCGGTAGATGCATCCAACAGTGCTTTCGAAGAAAGATCTTTACCTGAAAGTTCTAAAAACAAACATTCAATTTCGCTATCGATCCCGGTGCTTACATTTAACGGTAGAATTCAATTTTTTGTTCAAGTAAATAGCGACACCACCAGCATTACTAAAACGACCTGCGCGATAAAGAACAAATTCATCACACTCAATAGACAAATCACTGAACTCGGGCAAGAATCAAGTTTCAGACACGCAAATAACATCAACATTAGACTGAACAAACATGTACCTAAATTCATCAATTTTCTTCATAAGACTCTGTGCATTAATATGGTCGACCTTAATTCCCTTTTTGTGCTTAACTAAAATTTTAACTAAACTCGCAGCTATGGAAATACCTATTTCAGTCTGGACGAACATGTTGAGAACCTACTGGGAGGCGCGCTTTAGTGAAAATGAGGAAATCAAGAGACAAAAAGATAGTTGCAAACGACATATAACAATAATAAAAGATAAATATATAAATAAATATAAAGACACAATTTTAGGGGCGAAAGCTCTCACTGTTAAGACCACCAGCCCTATCATGCGATTTAGATGAAGCAGCAGAAGTTGTAGGCGATGTTCATATTGTAGAGAAGGGGAAGAGCGGGTTGTGTTTGTACGCCCAGATCAAGAGAGAGCGCTGAAAGCTCATCCATGCGCTCGATGTTGTATAACATATTGTCACCGCAGGACATTCACACGGTCTCTGCGAGTTAAGACGTCTGACAAAATTTTATGCTTTTTAAGCTTAATGGCCACTTTTAAAATTATATAGTGCTCTCTTAAAAGCTGCTCATTAATATAGAGCGCGGCTTGTGAGTCGAAAGCTAAGTTGTTGTTTAGCCGTACGCCGGTAAGCTCCGATGCAACGTGATAGCGTGATTTTTTCGTGGTAGTGGTCCATTTTTATAATGACCACCAGATCCCCTGAAGATCTTAGCGTTTTTCTGGCCCGGTAAATTTTGGCGGCGGAGTGAGCTGCAGCGAAGAGTTTGTGGTAACGTTTCTTCAGATTTTCACCATCTATAAATGGGATTCCGTGCATGCGTAATTCGCAGGCCTGAGTTGCCATTTGCTGAAATGAAAGTTTGGCTTCTAACTCGCCCACACTCTCCCTCAAAGTGTTCGGATCGCAGAACTTATGCTTCAGATTGTTGACAATCAGCCTCCACCCTCACGACCCGCTCTCCCACCAGCTTTAGATGAGCTGCGATTCCATCCAAACAAGTCAAAAGGCCACCGAGAGTACGCTGCTCCGCGTCTTGGACCAGGCTAGTGAGTTTTAGGGTTTGCTCTTGGAGACGCAAGTTAAGCATCTCTAGCAGCTGAGATGACGGCGCATCGGACACACGCTTGTTGGTGATCCCGTTGCAGTTGTTGTTGTTGCTGCGTAGACGCTTGGTAGATGGAGCGAAGGTCACAGACATGGTTACTGCGTGTTAGAATGAATATTTTAATTGGAGAATATTGCCCTCGTCAATACCTACTACATTTTGCCACGGCACTAATTTGCCCAAAAACCGACCAAAACCGTCTGTATGAACGCTACGATCTTGAAAAATAAAAGCTAGGAATTTGGCATCAGGGTGCAAGGGTTTAATCGCAATTATAACCATTTCATAATTTAGCTTTCTGAAAAAAACATAAAGTTTTATTTGTCCTCCGGAGGGATCGAAATCGAGTTTCCCGAGTAAGAATTGAACATACTACGTACCAATGTCGCACTTAATCTACGTTCGGAAAACTGAGCATTGTTATATAGCAACCATTGACTCTTCGTTCCGGGAGATCCACCATAATGTGCTTTAAAAACCTAGGCTTTACATTTGTACACCGTTTTCCTCCGCCCAATTGGCCAATGTTGGGATCGAATGATATCTGAAAGAGCGGTAGGTCACGTGTGTAGATTTCGCTTTTGGAAACCGACTATTATCGTTACAGTTCCTGGATGACTTCTAGGCAGTATAATTGGATGACGACTATCAAAATCCAACGGCGAATTCTTCAGAAGCCAGTCTACACGCAGAAACCCAACCTTGTCCATGAAAGGAGAGCATGATGCAAGTACGCTGGACGGACAATATCTCCTTTCTATTCTGAAGCGAACAAAAAATGCACACGCTGCACTAATCGCAATAACCGTTGGGTTCCAGACTTAATGTCACCGGCGCCCTTGAGGCGAAATCGATGACAAATCAAACTTGTGCACAACTACCCGCTGCAGTGCTGAGAACGAATTAGTGTACCTGGAACCAGCTATTACGTCTAGGTACGGAGGCTAGACAAGTAGAACTCTTGCACGCAGTTCCAGAGTCGGCTTTTCAGCTCGGACCGCAGCCGGCAGCTCATCTTGCGGTCCAAGGAGAAAAAGAAGGACCATGTGCCAACCGATCATTATTGATAAATTCATTGGAAAGAGTGCCACGGGACAGGATGTCCGCCAGTTTCAAGGACGTGGGGACATACCGCCACTTCATCGTTTTATTCAACTCCTGGATCGTCTAAACACGATTGGCGACGATAACATTAAGCCGGGCAGGTTTTTCTTGAATCCAGAACAGCGCCACAGCAGATTCGCACCAGCAGAAATGCTTCCCAGCGTGCACCTTCAGATCCGCTACATCCAGCTTCGGTACCGTAACAGTCTTCAGCAAAGCAAAAGTGACTTCCGTATCCTTTACCTCTTAACACGACATGAACACACGCACCTTGATGATAGTGTCACAGAATCCATGAATCTCCACATCGACCGGTGATAATAGAGACCATCTAGGAAATTCGGCCCGCTGCGTCATAGCAAAGCTGCAAATATTCTTCCACTCGGGGTAAAGAGCATGAGCAAGACTCTTATCCCAGGACAACTTCTCACAAAACATCTTTTGAAGAAATATCTTATCAGGATCCCAAGCGAGCCGCAGAGTTTTCCTTAAGATGCTGTCGTCATCTAACTTTAGAAACGACTCCCGATCTTCTTCCGGCACATAGACAACACTGCAGCAACGTTGGACCACCACTTTCTCAAGAGAAATTGAGTCTTGGCGAGGATCCTAGATGTTTGCTGCATTTTGATAGCTTCATCCACAGAGGCACCTCCTGAAATTTGATCATCAACGTAAAAGTCCCGACGCAGAATTTTGGCCCCCTTTGGAAATACGACTGCTCAACCTCGGCCAACTGATGCATCGTTCGCACTGACAAAAATTAAGTCTGCCTGTGTCGTGCTTAAAACCTGCAACTCATCCTGGGTGTGATCCCGCCAATGAATACACTGCAAGTAGCTGTCCTCAGGAAAAACTCTGACACATCGGTTGGCGAGCCTAGCGAGGTCTCGTGCTCATTTTTGGGGTGCATCGTCATAACAAGCTCTGACACGGTCCATCGCTGCTGATCTCCGAAATGACCAATTCTTCAAGTGGGTGGCCTCGAAGTCATCGTTCATGGCGACTTACTGGCCTGATGCTGAAGATAAGCTAAGCCCGTTAAAGTAGAGCAGCCGATAATGATGTCTAAGGCAATAAGAACATTTAATAAATATTAAAGCTTATTAAGCTTTATTTACAAAGTCAGGTGGCGGCTGCTTACTGACCCGACACAGGCAAACACATGTGCATAATACTTGTAGAATTCTGTACCATTCGCGATTTAGGTATCAATTTAGGTAACATGTAAGTTCGTAGTAAAGATCTATAACACAACTATTGCTTAAATGTCTTAGTTCGTATATGTGTAACTTAAAACCTGAATTTTACAGTTTGACATGGTGATACGTGTTTTTTTTATTAAAAAAATTAAAAAAAAGGTATAAAAACATCAATAAAAAAGTAAATGCGTGGCACTATCGATTTCTAATCAAACGCTACGGATACAGCAGCCCGGCCGCTGACAAGTTCTGGAATTGATTATTTCTAAATATTTCTATTTTTTAGAAAAAATTATATTGTTTAGGATTAGAATTACTTTAGGATTAGGGTAATCATTTTTAGAAAATGTAAGACAAAACAATTTTATATATTCGTTAGCCATTCTATTTTTCACGAAATTCTAGATATAAGGAAATATTTTCTTGTTTGTTTTAGGCGATTCTAGTTTATGCCAACCATTCCTACATTTAGCGCTTTCTTGATTTAAGGAAAATTTCCTTGTCCTTAGATCGAATTTTCTTGTATTTAGAAAAACGAAAATTTAATGGCAATCTTGGGAATATAGCTCTATACTTAGGAACCTGTAGGTGATGTCACACAAGTTTTTATTCGGCTTTAACTCAGGAGGACCCAATTATTATGGAAAAGTTTAAATTGCTTGTGGAAATTTTAAAAGGTTCAGTGTTGTGTTCCTGTGTAATGGAAACAAAATCCCATTTACACTTTCACAAAATTATTAAACATTTGGGAGCCAGGCAGCTCTCTAGCGTTTTGGGCATTTGTGAGAGTAAGAGTCGGCGTTCAACTCCGTTGTAATAAACTTAAGCTGTGCAGAAATCTCTACTTTTAACCATTCATGTGGGCAGCAGACAAGCGTTATGGTAAAAAACTTGCGCTGCGCAGGATTTTCTACTTGCAACCTATTATAGGTTCCGAGATCTCAAAAAATTTTTTGGAAATAACATTAAAAAATCGCATTTTATCTATTTGTTTTATATGTAAAGCGACAATAATAAAAATATTATACAAACCATCCAGATTCACACCATTCTTTTTCAAAAGTTTTGTTTATAAGAAAAAAAATTATTCGAATAAAATGTCGGGTATTGTTCCACTCTGGCGTTTGATTAAATAAAAATATTATTTATTTTGCAGGAGGACGAAGAGGAAATTGTAGATGATGAAGTTATTGAGAAAATACTTAACGCCATGGATGCCTGCTTGCTTATATGTAACATTTATTCTACAGTTAGCGACTTAAAATTTTTGCAAGAGGATAATATATCACACATCATAAAATTTACACAATTTCAACTACGTGAAACAATATTTCCTCTCAATGACCCGGTTTACACTGTAAAAAGTATGAAAAAAACCAATAACCGTAAAAAAATTAAGTCACATCAAGCTCACAATAGAAGTCTTCAGCTATTTTACTCAAAAACTGTAGAGCTTTTAAAGGTGTTTGTAGCACTTTTTGACAAATGTGTCTTTGTTGATACAATAGTTCTACCATTGTCAACGTTAGCTATTGAGCCATTTTTCGTTGACAACATTGAAACGCTGCAATTTGTATGCTTGGAACTCGTAACTACAGTAAGTACCCAATATTTTAGCAGTTCCAAATCCAGAACTGTTTCTGACTTCTTTACTATAACTATATTCTTAAGGTTTAGCACTTAATGTTGAGAAATCTGTAAGTTGGGACAGACAGCACTCACATATATTGAAGGAGACGTTTCCGACCCCATAAAGTATATATATTCTTGATCAGCATCAGTAGACGAGTCGATCTAGCGTGCAAACTTCTGACTGAAATCATAATACCATCTGCAAGGGTATACAAATTCCTATTCCACTAGATTTGTTTCCGACTTTTTGTACTTTTTATAGAAGTTTGTTTTTAGGTTTCTAAGTCTTTGCAACTCATTGGTAAACCAAGGAGGCCTCACTAACTTAGGAGGAAACCTATCAGGAACACAATCACAGAAAAAAGAGTTTAGGACACTATAAAATAGTTCCGTAGCACTTTCAATATCCAAGCAATTATATAAATTTGTTCAGTTATATTGAGAAATCATGTTGTTGAGTTTATTATAGTCACAATTACGAAAGCAGCTACTATTAGTTGGAGAAAGTAAAGGAGAGAGGGTATCAACGCAGGGAAGACAAATTGTAAGTTCCAATGTGGGATGATACCGGTCTTCTAGCATAAGAATATAAGAAATTATATTCTCTCCGATGTTAAAGTAGAGGTAACGGCAATCAACACAAATAATTGCTTCATATATGGAACAACCGAGAGTCTCCTTCTTCCGTCACCAGCAATCTGAACATCGTTCGTCAGATTATCGAGACCAGGGACTCCTATAGAGCTAATTTCACCTTTAGGCACAGAAAGCTGCGTAGTGTTTGTCCCCTTAGGCTAACTAGCAGAAGCAGGAACTCCTTCAGAGCTTTTGGTACCTATGGGTACTTCTGGCAGTGAAGCTTTAGGTCCGCCAGCGCCAGTGGATGCCGACAAAGCTGCCCTTACCGATCGGGTACAAATATTTAAGGCTAAGTTGGGATTTGGGACTGACGCCATTACTTCAACAGATTTTGAAGGAGTGGTCTTTTTTCGTTATGGTGACCCTACTGACATTTTTTTATTATCAAGGTCCGCCTTAAACTCTTTGAAATCAGCAACTACGCTCATAAGTTTGTCAAACAGTTTTATAAAACGATCATTGGTCAGCGCAACATAGCCATCCAAATCACGGTCTATTTCAACGCATGAGGCACAAGTCCACGAAAAACCCAACACGCAGATCAATATAGTCTTTCACTCTGCCAACAAGTCCTGTACATTTCGGATGTATTACTATGTTGCAGGGACGACAGTAAATAAAAACGTCATTCGGTGACGATCCAAACTTATAATCTTTTTTGGAACAAAAAAGAGGCATTTTTAAGTATTTTAATTTAAGGGGAAAAAAAAGATTACTTATAAAACCAAAAAATCAGAAGAATTATAAATACCTCACTTAATTTGACACTGGGATCAAACTATAAAAATGTAGGCACACACGAACACAAAAGTATAAGAGCGCGTAGAGACTGCGAGAGCGAGAGAGCGCGACAGAGTGGCTGTCGACTGAGCGTGGCTGGCGAAACACAAACAAAATATACACGACAACAGTTTAGACGACAAGAAACGGGAGAGAGATTACAAGAAAGTTATGGAAAACAACAACAAAAGCTATTGGAACAAATGCACCAAAGCGTACAGAAGTTACAATAACAAAAAGCACAGATAAAATGTTATTTCCAAGCGTAGGAGGTTATTTGTTAAAAAACACCTAAGCTATAATTTGTTTCATATTATTTACCCACCAATTTTCCGATCGACAGTTGCCAAAGGAAGAATCGCAAAATTAATGTCAAAGTAATACAAAAATCGTTTTATTTCTTTTTCGACGAAACTACTAGTACGCTTTTTTCCGATAAGTAGAAAGTAAAATGTAGCGTGATGTATTGTGATTATTTTAAAGTTGTCTAAGCACAACAAACTTCAGCCATAAAATACGAGGGGCGTAAAACATCCAAGAAGACGTATCTAAACACACCAACAATTTTTTTTATTTATCTAATAATAGTGAAAACCTATATAGGTTATTTTTAAGTACCCACATTTTTTTTATTTTTTTAATATATTTAACCACTACGATACCAAAGAATGATTTTTGTTAAGGGGCATCAATAAACTTGAAACATTAAAATAATAAAAACTAATTAGAGTCTAAACACTCCAATTTCTTCAAAACAATTTAGAGTTGAAATTAAAAACAAAAAAATACGTGAAAAAAGAAATATTTGGGTACGATTTTAACTGTGGTGTTACTATTTTCTGTCCAAAAAAGGAAACATGAAAATATAAATTGTTGCGTTATTATTTTGATTGTGGTGTTACTAGTTTCCGTCCCATTTAAAGAAACAACAGAATATATGAAAATGTTTTAAAATAAGTTGACATTTTTTTTTGCTTTGATTCTACATAGTTTTTTTTTCTTTGTGTGTATAGCGGATCCTCTATTGACGATCCTCTCTTCGGTTTATACCTACTTGAAAAAACCAAAATACAAACAATAATTACGAAAAACTAAATTTGTTCAGGGTTAAATAATAACGGTAACTCGTCCGTTTTGTTTACCTTAAATATTTGACATAACCCTCTGAGCTGTTCAAGTAACGTGATATACTTACTTGTTTATATAAAAAAAACCAGGAAGAACGCTATAGTCGCGTACCTCGACAATGGAAAGGAAATGGAGATATGCAAGCAGCAAAGCGAGATTAAAATGCGCCACCTTTCGGCGGCAGACATATTTCAGCGTTATGGGCGTTAGAGTGGGCGTGGCAAATTTTTTTTTTGGATCAATCGATAGGTATTGACGAGACCAATACATTTCACTTAAAATTGTTTATCTAGCATGAAAATTGTGGGCGTCACAGGTTTGGGCGGTTTGTGGGCGTTAGAGAGGGCGTGGCAAACTTTTTTTTGGTCAATCGACAGGTATTGATGAGAACAATACATTTCAGCTAAAATTTTTATTCTAGCATCAAAACTGTAGGAGCCAAAGTTTTGGGCGGTTATTGGGCGTTAGAGTGGGCGTGGCACTCTGCTGAAACAAACTTGCGCTGCGCAAGAAGCTCAGGAATATGCACTCCAAATCTCAATAGCCTAGCTCCTATAGTTTCCGAAATCTCAGCGTTCATCCGGACAGACAGACGGACAGACGGTCAGACGGACATGGCTAGATCGACTCCGCTAGTGATCCTGATCAAGAATATATATACTTTATGGGGTCTGAAACGCTTCCTTCTGCCTATTACATACTTTCCGACGAATCTAGTATACCGTTTTACTCTACGAGTACGGGTATATGATTACTAACAAGAACGCTATAGTCGAGTGCCTCGACTATCAGATACCCGTCACTCAGCTCAAGAGACCAAAGGGAGATGGAGATACGCAGGCAGCAAAGCGAGATTGTAATGCGCCACCTACCCGAGATCTCAATATATGGTTATGTGGGATGCACACAGGTTGAAGCGTTACAGACGTTACATTGGGCGTGGCAAACTTTTTTGGTCAATCGATAGGTATTGACGAGAAAAATACATTTCAGTTAAATAATTTGTTAGCATGAAAAGTGTGGGCGCCTTAGGGTTGGGCGGCTTGTGGGCGATAAAGTGGGCATGGCCTATTTGCGTAACAATCTTGCTCCGACTATAAGGCCACCGAATCTAAATGTGAAATCCCCATTCTCTATACTTGATAGTTTTCGAGATATCCGCGTTCATATTTACGGTTTTTTTAAGTTTGTGGGCGATTTGCGGGCGTCAAAGTAGGCGCAATAAATTTTTTTTTATGTTAATCGATGGTTATTCATGAGAAAAATACATTTCAGTTAGCATTTTTATTCTAGCACTCAACCGGTAGGAGCCACAATTTTAAGCGGAGATCTCTAGAATCTGCATGCCCAATCCCAGTATTGCACCATTTATAGTTTTCGAGATCACAGCGTTCATACGGACAGACGGACATGGCTTAATCGACTCGACTAGTGATCCTGATAAAGAACATATATACTTTATGGAGTCGGAAACGCTTCCTTCTTCCTGTTACATATTTTCCGACGAATCTAGTGTTCCCTTTTACTCTACGAGTAACGGGTATAAAAATATGTTGCATTAAGCACTGCTTTAAAATATCCTAATTCTAGCGATAAAAAATTTGATACAAAGTTTTCGAATAAGTTTTAGTGATACTCCTGAATACTTTATAGGTTGTCAAATATTTTTAAAAATATCGTATCTTTTTTGAATACAAAATGTACAACATTTTTAAAATATTAAGTAAATATTGATATATTCGATGTTTTTTATATATTTATATTTTTATGAAAAATCGACTTTAACTCTTATTTTACCAAAACAAACAACATATATTAAAAAAAGCAGTTCTAAGAAAGCTTCCAATATTTTTTTTGCATCGATTTTAAAAATACCCCTTGTGCTATGTGATTGTCGGGCATCCGACTGCGGGAATTGTAAACGACGCATTTGAAAGCAAACGCCAGCCGCTCCGAAGGTACACGATATTAATATATATAATTTTTATATTAAAAATATTAATATATAGATTTTTTTATATAATATTAAAAACGGCACTTTATTATCCTTCGGTAATTATCTTTTTAAAAATATCCGTTCTAAATGACATCATCATTTTTTCAGATATTTCGAAAGGACAGATACGATAAAATTAGAAACAGTATTTTAGGAGACATTTTGACATCAATTGATCGCTTACCTTCATCAAAAAAAAACCTTCGCCCATATAAACTTACAAATAATGGAGGAAATATTCAAATGGTTACGGCACTTGTTCTACAACTTATTCAGTGTGCTACAATTTTACCAGACTCACTTTGTGATAACGGAAAATTAAGTAATAAGTCTCAAGAGTGTGCTGCTATTGACGAAAATACTACAGGCGGAGATAAAAAACCATTAAAACCAAATCAGGATATATTGGTTTTACAAAAGTATGATGTAGCTGTCAGTATTGGTGGAAACTTCTTAACCACTTTTTTAAACAAATGCAAGTCACGGTCCAATGAAACTGATTTTCGGCCTCTTTTTGAAAATTTTATTCATGATCTACTGGCCACTGTTAACAAGCCTGAATGGCCCGCATCTGAATTGTTACTTTCCCTTTTGGGAACAATGCTGGTCCGATATGTGTCTGATAAAGGTATAGAACAAAGTATTCGCTTAGTTTCATTGGATTACCTTGGCATAGTAGCTGCACGATTGCGTAAGGACACTGTTGAGTCTCGATGTAAGGTTAACATAATTGATTCAATGATAATGTCCATAAAAGTAGAACAAGAAAAGGAGGGCGACTTTACAGAGAAGAGTGTAAGTAATCAGTTCGACTTCAAATTTTATAAAAGTATCTTACTGTAGTATATCTTACAGGATCAATTTGAATTCCATCCCGAGGAGCGGAGAACAGAGTTTCTACAAAAAATACTTCTCGATTTTCTAGCTGTAAACGCTCAAGAAGAAAATTTAATCTGGGACTATGCTCGGCATTTTTATTTGGCACAGTGGTATCGGGACGTAATTTATCAAAGACGTCGAATAAAGGATGGTAAAAAAAGTTTGGCTGTGAGGAAGTCTAAAAGTCGAACTAAGCACAGGACTGATGGTATGTTTATAAATATTGGAATCGGATTTTAAGAGTTAAATCCATGTGTTGCTAAAATGATATCTCTAAATATATTTACACTAGTTTACAAAATAATATTTTAAAACTGCCCCAAGAAGGATAATGGTAGTTTCTGGTAGAGTTAGACCGCTAGATCACGAAAAATAAGTCAAAAATATTTGTAAAAAACAGTTTATTTTAAAAGAGTTTCAAAGAAAATTTACGCCGGAAACGGAATTGCGCCACGAAATATCGGATATATTGGTAAAGCTATTTAATCAAATTAACATGTAACTGACTCTTACCACTTTCGGTATATGTATAATTAAGTATTATTATTTATTCAATTCCTATATGTTTGTTTGTTTAAATGATTTTTATCAATTGCCGCTTTTTATCGATTGTCGATTTTAACAACGTTAAAACAAAAGTTTCACACCACTACAGCCGACTTGTCGGTAAGTTCGTGTGTCGTTGCGTTTATTACATGTAAATGTGACGGCTAAAAGATTTTGCCTACTCTCCCCTTTGAAACAATCCTAAAAATTATTTATAATTTCCATTTCATTTTTCGACAACTTCCGGAACCATCTGCGGTAAAAGGTTTCTACATTATTTCTAGGGGTAAGGGTAAGTGTCCGAAAGCGCAAAACAAAATCGAAAAAAAATTCCTGGCTACCCCCTTAAGACCACTATTGTTTGTTTCTTGGATTTTACCCAACACACAATCCCGTTCTTATTTCGTTATATATTTTTAAAACTAATCTTATAATCTAAAATACGAATTTAAACTGATATGTTTTGCTCTCTTTAGAACCTATCAATTGCCAATTGGCTTTATCAAAATCGTACAGCTAATCCCAAGCATATTGAATAGCAGCGTGCCGAATGTAAAAAAAATTAAGATATTGTATTTATTTAGTAGGTCGTAAAATACATTTTCGTCACAAAAGTTGATATCAGAACTTTTGTTGGCTGAAGGTGCGATCGTCACTAGATTTTTACCTCGTTAAGAGGTGTTTTTGTTTGATATCAGAAGTTTTTGTTTTAAACATCAATCACATAATTCGTCTTCATACAGCTTAAATTTTCTTAACTTTTATTATTACACTTTCACCGATCTTTTTCCCAAACGAATTATAATTGTTACAGTCTATGTATGCAATCCTTTTAGGTTTTGTAATATCTTTTCATTATTGTACCACTAGTTATGACCGGACCATCACAGCAGTGATGCAGTGGGGGGCTTCGTCACAAAGTGGACTGCCGTCCACAGTCATGTTAGTTCTTACATTAGTGTACCTCAATACCGTGATCAAAAGTTATGTTTGAGTTAAAAATTAATACAGTAGTGATTTTTCTTTTATTCCGCAGTAAAGGTTGGTATTTCGCATGCATGTTTACAAGTTACGGGTGGTGTACTAAATATTTGTATTTATATCTGCTTTTCTGCCAAACTAACTGGTAAAACTAAAGATTCTAATAACATCATATACAATTTTCAGGACATTAATAAAAAGTTTGGATAAGAAAACCAAAGTTCAATTCCCAGGTAGTGTTAGATGTCTGAGCTGGTAAATGTGGCTATTGTAGTTAATTATTAACTTTGAACCGACAATGTGTCGTATGTCAAAAGTTGAGGATTCTCGGGGGCTATACACCGTAAAATTTAATCTGAATTCGTTAGAGCCGTTTTTGTGGAATCAGACATATGTATAAGTATATGTATATACATATGTATAAGTTACACAAGTTACGGGTCAAGAAAATTTAGCTACTTATATCTGCTTTCTCGCCAAACTGACTAGTTTATCCGGAAGTAGTAGAACTAATGTTTCTTATATTGAGCTGTTTACCATCGTCTAGAATATTTATGACTCTAAAATAACGGTTTGGGACAATCTGACTAACAGACAAACAAAATAAAATTTTCATTTTAAGAAGTCCCCACTTGTTTTGCGTATTACTTGACAATTGAGGTGTCATTCGTCGCGTATTTTAAGTAAGAATACAAGTAGGTTAATAGCGGGGGTATTTATGCCCACCGGCCCCAACAGATACAATTTTCTTAATTTTCACTTACAGTTTTCCCGCTCTTTATTGGTATGTAATCCTTTTAGTTTTAGATTTTAGATTGATGTAACACTCGAAACAATCGGACGATCACAGTAGATTTTCATTCCTTCGTGTATATATAGTAGTCTCCTTCGCAAACCCTCCTCATGCGCTTCGTCACTACGTGGACTGCCGTCCACAATGATATACAACCCTAGTCAAAATTATTTTCACAACACACAATTATTTGCACATCCCAACTTCTTTTAGTTGTTATTCTTGTTGTTGTTGAACAATATCCCTGAAATAAATGTTATCGCGTAGCTTGATCTATGCTGAAGCAACACAAAAAGAAATGCGAAAGATAGCGGTTAATAGGACAAAGCTAAAGGCAAAAGAAAAAAAGCTTATCAGTTGTCAAAAGTATTTGCACACGTTTTATTCGCGTCAGAAGTAATTTCACAAAACTTAGTTTAATTTATTTCAGCTTAATATCTAATTTTAACAAAAGATTTTCTTAATTTTATAAAAATACATTATTAATATTTAGTTATACCACCTTTGGCATCAATGACAGCTTGTAGTCTATTAGGTATTCCTTACCAAAGTTTGGGAAATTCAAGGGTCAATTTTGACCAAATTTCGTCAATTTCAGCGATGACTCCGTCGCGTTTTCTATTTTTATCAATGGTTCTTTGATTTTCTATAAAAGCCCAAACGTTTTCGATGATATTTAGGTCTGGGCTTTGTGGGGGCCAAGGAAGAACCGCCTGATTAAGGCCGCTCAAAAATTTGGGCGGTATCCTACCCTTGTGGCATGGAGCATTGTCCTGCTGAAGAATCCATTCATAAGTAGGAAAAAGTCTATTTCCTGACATAAAAGCATGGTCATTAAGGATTCGAACGTATCCGTTCTGGTTTAAAGTTCCTTTTATCGGTACGAGGTCTCCGAATCCATAATAGGAAAGGCATGCCCAGAACATGACTGTGCCACCACCAAACCTATTGATTGGCTGGGCTGCCAAATGCTTTTGGTGTTTCTTCAAATGCATAAAATGATGGCTGTAGGACCCCTGGTACTGAAATGCAGCCTTATCCGTCCATAAAACATTAAACCAAAAGTCAAGAGGCTTCTTAATATATTCCAATGCAAATTGAAGGCGTTTTGTTCGGTTGGTTGGTGTGATGTCAATCACTTTGCGGACAACATATGTATTGAAACCAGTTTCTTTTAGCCTGCGACGAAGTGTAGAATCACTTATTTGTTTTCCAATTATATTTTTTGATTCTTGGGCAATTTTTACTGGACTTGCACTTGGATTGCTCGCTACAACTCCTAGTAAGTGCCTGCATTGTCTTTGGTCCAACACAGGTTTTCGGCCTGATCTTTTCTTATTTTTTAAAGTGCCAGCTGTATTGATCTTTTTTTACTAAATAGTAGACATTTCTGCGCGAAATTTTATACAATTCAGCGATTTTAGCTGCTGAAATACCGGCTTTAAACTTAGTAACAATTTCAGCCCGGAGCTCAAGGGTTAACTCTCTTGATTTAGGCATTTTTTTGGATGAATGTAAAAGATAATTGATTATTTTAATTGAATTTTCCCTGAATTGAATTTATTAGAGCAAACGAACCGCCACTTTTCGCTGCAAGCCAAATACTAATGACGAAATTGCATTGTGAAAATAATTTTGACGCTAATAAATTGTGTGCAAATACTTTTGACAACTGATAAGCTTTTTTTCTTTTGCCTTTAGCTTTGTCCTATGAACCGCTATCTTTCGCATTTCTTTTTGTGTTGCTTCAGCATAGATCAAGCTACGCGATAACATTTATTACAGGGAAATTGTTCAACATCAACAAGAATAACAACTAAAAGAAGTTGGGATGTGCAAATAATTGTGTGTTGTGAAAATAATTTTGACTAGGGTTGTAGTTGTCGCCTTCGCACACTCTTAAACAGTCTGTTAATAATTTTTTTTTTTTTTTTTTTTTTTTTTAGTATAACAATTTATTTATTTAACGTTGATCAGCCAACCTAATGGCTATAAAACGTTGTGTACGAACAGAAATAGTTAACATGGAAACATAACAGAGAAGGTGATTAACAATATTTACAATAATTGAACAAAAACAATTTTATTGAATTAGGACTCGAGAGATCTGACGTCCTCTTGTCCAGAGATGGGTGCCTTCGCTTCAGTCTTCTTCTAGTCCTTGGGTGGGCCAAGGAAGCTGCTAGGTGGTTTATGTGTGCATTGAGGCGATCATTGTACCGACTAGAGTGCCGGTTTATCTGCTCCCTGACTGAGGGAACATGAAGGTCAGATGTTAGGGCTGCAATCATTCGCAGCGCACGGTTTTGGACCCTTTGGACTTTCATTACGTTCGAGTCGGAGGCCATGCCCCATAGTTGGATGCAATATGTCATCGAGGGTACCACAATTGTTTTGAACAGCAAAACTTTATTGCCAAGGCTGAGCTTGCTTGTTGGCTTAAGCAACCATGTAGCTGCTATTTTGGTAGTGTGCTGCTTCCAGGTGAGCCGCTTGTCCAGGATCAAACCCAAATATTGCGCATGGGTGTCGAGAAGCTCTACTCTGGGAACGATCTTTCCTCTCAAGGTGAAATTGCAGTGTTGCGACTTTCTTCCATTTATGGATATGTTCCACCTAAGAGTCGAGGAATTCCTGGGTAATCCTTGACGCTTCGATTGGGCAAGAGGCGTTCGCAATAAAGGCATAATTTCTGAATTATAAAAAGGAAACATATTTATTTGAGAACAAAAGAGTATTTATTAAACCACTTCTATATTTATAAAAGTGTAATTTTAAAATTAATATAACTTGTTTTTGTACGTTTTGTCTTGATCTATTTACTATATTACTTATGGAATTATTTTAACATAAGTCGATTTTTCTTGAGATGAATAGTGCTTGGATAT